TAAGCTATTTAATAACCAATTTTAAACTAACACTACAAAAAGTGAAAAAAATAAATAACCTGCATAGATAGAGCCACGGGGATCCAGTGCATTTTTCCACCTCCGGTCAAAAAAGTTTTTGAATTTGCATTATTCTTTCTGTCAAAAAAACCGACGACGAAACCGATAAGAGCCGAACCGACAAGAAATATCGCGAATACCAAATAATCGATCCAGTGAAAATGCTTAACCCGGTATTCCATTATGTTTGTCGGTTGACTGGTGCACCGTTTTTGGGGTAATGAAACGTCTTCTGTACCGTATTATACGGTAATGTATTGTATTGTATTTTTTGTAATTTAATATATTTTTTGTATTGTATTTTTTGTAACTTTTGTATTATATTTTTTGTATTGTATTGTATTTTTTGTATTGTATTGTACTGTTGTATTTTGAAATGATGTTTGTAATGCAAAAGGAGTATGCATGTATGTATGTATGTATGTATGTATGTATGTATGTATGTATGTATGTATGTATGTATGTATGTATGTATGTATGTATGTATGTATGTATGTATGTATGTATGTATGTATGTATGTATGTATGTATGTATGTATGTATGTGTTTATTTGACCGACCGTGTTACATACAACCGTGTATTAATATAATTATTATTTTTATTGTTGTTGTTTTTATTCATTATTATTATTATTATTATTATTATTATTATTATTTGTTTCCACAACACGTCTCATGTTACAATACTTCAGAACTAAGCACAGTCATATGAAGTTGCATGTGATTTTTTAGGCACCTGTATATATACATACACACAACACAACACACACATACACACAACACACATATACACACAACACACATATACACACAACACACATATACACACAACACACACACGCACACAGACACACACGTACAATACACAAACAGCATTTGAATAATTACAAAATTATTGCATATACGTGAGTTTCATTACGTAGTGAATCTATTGACATGTCATATCAATGACTTATATATGTATATATATGAATAAATATATATACATATTTTATATATATATAGTTATATATCGGGTTTTGAACTCGGGCTCGATGGCATAAAAAATTTTTTAGTGAGATAGAATTACTAAATTCGACCTATATACATTTATAATTGGTTGATTGTGTGCGTGTGTGGGTATGTGTGTGTGAGAAATAGAGTGAGAAAAAAGGAATAGCCAAAAATGAAACCGAACCGAAACGCAGAAAGAAAGAAAGAAAAGAAAGAAAGAGAGAAAGAGAGAGAGAGAGAGAGAGAGAGAGAGAGAGAAGAATTGGATTTCCTAGATATAAATAATGAATTGGTAGCAGAGACCGATTGACTAATTCAGTCAGATATCCAAATCAAAAATTAGGAGTCGGGGAGGCAAATTATTTCGTGATTTCCGAATGGAGTGGTTTTAAAATCCTTCACATTTTATACATTTCCTCTCTTTTGATATCCTAAAATTTATCAAATGATCACGTATCTGTTTCAATCCAATAGAGCTGTTTGGAAAGAACAATTATAGCATATTCTTATGTAGATAATTATGTGCAAGTGTGCGTGAGTGTGTGCGTGCGTGCTTTTTGCATTTGGGTGAAATGAAATTTTTGTAATATGTTGTATTGAGAAATATAGGGAGAAGACTTAATTGAATGGTTTCAAGGCTTTTATTTAAGCGGACCAAAAAAACGCTGAAATAAATAAGAATGCAGATTTCATATAATTGTTGTTTTGGTAGTGACGTCACTGGTTTTAAATAAACAACAAACATCAACAATGTTGAAAATATTTAAATGTCAACTGTTATAAATAATGAATACATAAGTACTTACTGACAATGAAGGATCTTTGTAATGCTGTCCTTCTTCTTTTGCTAACAAACTTTATTCCAAAGGAGGCAAATGGCCTAGAACTAAACTACATCGGCTGCTTTCAAAAAGTTTGGTCTATAGAAAGAAGTGATAGTAATTTCGATGACTGTGCTTCAAATTGCTGGAGCTCAGTGTACATGATCGCTTTGACGAACGGTCGCAAATGCAACCGCGTCGCTCGTGTGGATGCGGCAGTGGCTTCCTGGCGGTGTGACAAGCTTTGTAATAACAAGGCATGCGGAGGACTGGAGTTTTATTCTGTTTATAGATTTAAGCCACTTTCGATACACGACCTATACTGCCATTTGACGCCAAATGCTAAAGAGAGCGCCATATATTCACGAAATTTTGACAGTCTGGATAATCTCGAAATGTGTGCGCATTTCTGCTTGGAAATGAACATGACATTCTTTAGAAAGGATTCCAACAAATGTGACTGTTTCCAGGCCGTTAATTATGGAAAGTTTTTTAAAAGAACATCCGATATAATTTCTACAGCATGCCCAAAAAATGTAAATGAAATCTGTGATTATTTATTTGAACATCATCTTTGCCTTTCTCATGTATTTGCTACGCGACCAGATTACGAATTCCAGAGAGGAGTATCAACTTTCTCTCACTGCAAAATCATAAACTATGAAATACAAGAAGGGTGTCCAGAAGGTTGTAGTAAAGGCTGGAAGGGAGATTCGTGCAGAGAAAGAGATTGTACGAGGAACAATGGTGACTGTGGTGACGAGATGAAATGTATTGAGTCCACGGTCAATGGTAATAAGTACGTTGAATGCGTCTGCCCATTGGGCACCGTAAGAAACAAATGGTACTTGTGCGATGTGTTTAGGGAGAACGTGGTTCTAAATCAAATGGATAATTGGATGGGTATAGTTATCCCTGACGACAAAGACACCACAAATAACGGAATATATAACGGTTACGTTATGGATGATAACAACAATCAAAATACAATAAGCGTTGTTTTCCACAGTCTTTATTCCATTGGATATGTTAGAATTTACGGGAAGCTATGTGAAAATGAAAGAGTTTGCAGTCAACTAGATAAGTTTGTGATTAAACTCGGTTCATCAGACGATGCAAGAAATCTCCCAGAAACATGCGGCTATGGACCTGACGAAGCCATACAAGCTGGAAATCCCATGACTGTTATCTGTAAAGATTTTACATATCGTTCAAGGCTTGTCGTTTTGCTGCAGTCAGACGAAAAGATTGGGACAGGAAATCCTGCAATAGCAGAGATGGAAGTTTATGAAGTTAGTTGCGGTGTCTTGAACGGAAGATGTGAACAAAGGTGCACTGAATCGAAAGATGGAGACGCACACGTTGTCAGCTGCAGTAGTTGGACTGATGAACAAGCTGTAACAAACTCATTTTACGGATGTTATTTGAAAGTGTCAGGTGACCTTCACTACAATAGAGCTGGTTTGTCGTACATGCAATGTAAAGATGCCTGCACTTTAATGTCAAAAAGTTTAGCAGTGATGCAAGCAGGTTTCAAATGTTATTGCGGCAGTAGTTTGAACATAGCTGGTAACATCCCAGTGGAAGATTGCAAGAAAGGCCATTACAGATCCAATCTTATATTTGATGACTGTGACATGCAAGATGATTTTTGCAATAAAACCAATGGAACTTTAAACATCATTACAACAACTTCCAAAGCTACCAAACATGACATTTATGATACAAATTCTACTGAGACTTTAGAAACCATCGTCATCATCAATCCTTCCGACGAACCCACAGACATCATAACATTGCAAATGCAGCTTTACGATTCTTACAACAAATATTTGGTCATCACGTCAGGTGTGACCACCATCGCCTTCCTCTTCATGCTAGCTCTTTTAGTTAGAGAACTGAAGTTTAAACGTGTGATACCAAAAAGAACAAGTGGAACCTCAGGTAGAAGCGCAACGATTTCAAGCAGCAGTAAAGTTAGATCCTCAAGAAACAGTTCGAGTGTGAATAGTACTGAAGCAATATAACTCTATCTATATAAAAAAAAGATGTCCATATTTTATGAATTTTTTAAAAATTTTATTTGAGTGCTTCAATTTTAAAAAGGGCAAATTTTTATTTAAAACATCTTTTTTTCTGCTTACATGAAGAGAACTTATCAGGATAACAACTTTTTCCTGCAACTCATTTGAGGATGTTGCACCTTCAGGGCGTGAATGCACTAATTCTAAGAGGATTGACATCGTTAAGACGTTGCCAAAAGCCAAAACGAGAGTTTTGATCAAAGTGGGAAAGTTAGAGAAGGATGGCTTTAGCGAAGTTTGCTATGTCGAGGAGAGAAAGAAAGGAAGAGGAAAAAAGAAAGAGAGAAAAAGAGAGAGAGAGAGAGAAAATATGAAAATATCTACGAAGGTTACATTTGGATAAGCTGTCTTTTTTAGAAAGTTACGAAATTGAAATGCCAAGGTCGTCAATAGGAAAGAATTTTATTGAATTTTTTTACAAAGTAAGGTTAATTAAATATTCATTCGAAACTTATTTCATATTCATGGTTACTACAGTTCATAGTTACTATAGTGCAAATTCTTATACCAACATATCTGTGGGGGAGATTTTGCAAGAGGGCATGGAAGAAAAGTTAATTGTCACTCTAACAATGAGAATAATAAAAATACAAAATGATAATAAGAATAACAAGAAAAAAAAATAATAATAATAAGTATTTCTACTAAATAATTAATATTTGGGTTTTTCTTTTTTCCTTTTTTCAGCCTTGTCGGAAAATTTTGGATCTGAGTGAATCTTCGAAAATCTGGAATCAGATACTTCAGTCTGCGAAAAAAACCGAAAATATTTAATTAATTAATTAATTAATTAAATATTTATTAATTAAATCTGTAAAAAGTAAAATGATTTAGACTCTAAATAGATATCAATAAAGTGGGAGTTGAAATGAGAATAACTGAAGCTATCACACCTCTTAACTAACTGACAATAACTCCATAAGGACAACATTAAATTTTTAAAATAGCGGAAGCAAAAACAAAACAGCAGAAGCAACGAAAGCGACTACTACAGCAAAAGCCACAGACGCAACCACACCAACTAAAACAGCAGTAACAGGCGCCGCTACACCAACGACAAAAACAAAATGGCTAACCGCTTGGTCTTCCTTCATTTTTTTCATTTTCTTCAATTTTTTCTTACTTCGTATTTTAGGATCGTCGCCATTCCTGCTGACGTCACCGCCATCGTCACCATCTACATCCATCATTAATAGCTCCAAGTCAGCCTGCATTTGAATAAATGATTGAGTGAATGATTGATTGAATTAATGAAAGATTGAATTAATGAATGATTGAATGAATGATGAATGAATGATTGAATGAATGAGTGATGAATGTAGTATGTCAATTTTTTGATTTAGTATCTATTTATTGTATGAAATAAAACTATCGAAACCAAAAATATATAATAACAGACAAATTAAAAATGAAATTAAGTTGAAATAGTGAAAAAATTATTTATATCTAATCACTTTTTCAGATTCAGTAAGCTCTCTTTCTTTCACCGGCTGATTTTTCTTCTTCAATTTTTTATCTCTGGACTTTTTCTGCTTATTTTTAGAATCTTTGGTAACATTGTCGTCTTCGTCATCGTCGTTGTTCTTCTGTTTCCTGGTCGCTTCTCTCTATTTTACATAACAAAATTCAAAATAATTTAATTCTTTTCAATCATGTGGACATTTCAAACGATTCTACTAAGTGAACAGAGAGACAGACAGACAGACAGGCAAACAGACAGATAGACAGACGGACAGACGAAAATAATCAAAAGAATACTTTAAATTTTTTTCTTAATTTTCTTTTTTCCCGCCTTTTCTCCAGATACTGTTCCCAGTTCGTCAGCTTACTCTTCTGATTTTCTTTCACCATCACTTCGGCTGCCTCTTTCAAACCTTTGAATAAATGAATGAATGAGTGTATGAATGAATTAATGAGTGAATGAATGAATGAATGAATGAATGAATGAATGAATGAATGAATGACGGAAGAATACCTGGCTCCCAAGTCACTTCCATATGAACATCATCATCGTCGTCGTCGTCGCCATCTTTCCGCCTACTGTTTGGCTTTCCATCATTCAACTCATTCAACAGTGACACGTACAAATTGACATTTGAATTCAACTTGTTCTTCCTTCCATTACTCTCACCTTCAATGTTATTCTTATTTTTGTTATTATTCTTATTTTTGTTATTATTCTTAATTTTGTTGTTATTATTATTATTATTTTTATTACCGTCCTTTCCCTTGGCTTTATTATTAACCTCGTCACACTGGCTCTCCTCACATTTGCTACTGGCAATGAAAAAATCATCATCATCATCACCAGCATCGTCATCATCATCATCCTCACGGGCAGCTGCAGTCGTAGAAGCAGTAGCATCATCATCATCACAACCACCATTGTCATCGGTAGCACCGTCATCATCATCATCATCAGTAGCTGCAGCTTCTTCATCTGAAGAAGACGCCAGGTAATGTTTAATTTCGTCATCATGCAGTTCTTTCTTCGTGAAATCTGCCATGAGGACGGCTTGCCTCTCTTGGGGAGTTTCGTCCCATGTTAGTTGGACCTGGGCGAGTTGTTTTGTATGTTTTTGTATGATTGTATGTTTGTTTTGTGTGTGTTTGTTTGTATGTTTGTTTTGTATGTTTGTTTTGTATGTTTTTGTATGATTGTATGTTTGTTTTGTGCGTGTTTGTTTGTATGTTAGTTTTGTGTTTGTTTTGTACGTATGTATGTTTTGTATGTTTGTTTGTTTTGTACGTATGTTTGTTTTGTTTGTAGTAGTTTGTTCTGTATGCTGTTGCTGTTCCTTAGTTAATGTTTGTATGCTTCATCTTGTATGCTAGTCTTTAAACCAGTGTTAGTTTTACCTAGGCGTTGTTTTTTGTTTTGTATGTTTTATAATATATAAAAACAACAAACGAACGAACGAGCGAACGAACAATATAACAATCTAAATAACGAACGAACGGACGTACAAACTAACAATCTAACCAACGAACGAACGAACGAACGAACGAACAATCTAACTAACGAACGAACGAACGAACATACATTACTCTGGTGCAGAGCAGTATTAACAAAGATAGTCGGTTTGTAAGAACCCTTTGGCGGCAAGGAGGTGCAAACCGAAGTGGGGTCACGGTCATCAAAGGTCATATCGTCTGGAATGAACCTGGTAATGATGATGATGATGATGTTGATGATGGTGGTGGTAATGATGAATTATAATGATAGTGGTGATGATGGTGATGCTGCCAACCAGTCAAAGAATAAGTGATAAACCAGCCAGCCAGCCAGCTAGCCAGTATACAACACACACACACACACACAACAACACACGCACGCACACCCAAGAAATACCTTAGATCCAAAACAGTGGAACTCCTTTCGTATTCCATAGCATTGCAGTTGCTGTATATGGCATCTGCGGTGCTTACTGAATCACACTCGAGGACAGCGTAGAAGTACTTGAGTCGGTTCAACTGGTACAGACGTAACTTCTCTTTGAAGTATTTCTCGCCTATGTACGTGCGTGCGTGTGTATACGTACGTGTGCGTATGTGTGTGTGTGCGTATGTGTGTGTATGAGTATGTGAGGTATTTATGAATGTGTGAATGAATGAATGAATGAATCAATGAATCAATCAATCAATCAAAGAAAAGAAGGAAGAACTAAAAAATCTCAATATTCTCAAAGTTTTTATCTAATTTTTACTTGAATGAATTAATGAGTGAGTGAAAGAATGGATGAATGAATGAATGGATGAATGTATGTATGAATGAATGAATAAATGAATGAATGATTGAAAGAACAACCAAACAAAAAAAAACTTGACATACTTGACGCTTCATCCAATAATTTTACTTTATCCGACTTCTCAGTTAACTCCTTCGGCCCTTTCCACTCCTCTTCCTTCATTCTTTCCAAACCAAAATCAGACGGATAGATCTGATTGGCCAGTTCATTGATAAAAGAATTTAGCCTAAAACACGCACGCACACACGCACACACGTATGCACACACAAACGCACACACACACACATACCGATATAGACTTGATAATTCCACCCTCTGGTTTAAAGGAACTAAATAGAACCATCAAATCGACGGATTTGATTCGATCCCAATCCATATTACACACAGCCAATCGCCTCGTCGGGTTCTCCATCACTGCAGCCTCGCGATCTATCTCCCCCCAAGGATGAGATATAGAGTCTTTGGTGACAGAAATTACAATCATTATACTATTTTCATTTGCATACTTAATTTAGATGTTAAAAATGTAATCAGTGTTGTTAATATTAAAACATTCTAACCATCGTTATCATCGTTATCATCATCATCATCATCATCTGGACTACTACTACTACTACTATCACTATTGTCGTCATCATCGTCGTCATAATCAGCTTTGATTAGTCTATTAGAATGAGCTTTGTCATCATCATCAGAGCTGTCATCATCATCATCATCATCATCATCATCATCAATATCATCATTGTTCTTTATATTAGGTTTCTTTGGTGACAGTGTTTTAATCTTCAATGGAGATTTTTTTACTACATCGTCGCGTTTTAATTTTTTTATCTTTGGAACTCTTTCAGAAGCATCATCATCATCATCATTACTGCCATGGATATCATTACCATCATCATCGCTATCTGATAGATGGTAGTACCTGGTTGAAAAAAGATTTAAAATTGATTGCTAGAAAATTTTTTTCAATCATTAGCTTACCTCAACTTTTAAACACACACACACACACGCACACGCTCTCTCTCTTTCTTACTAATTTCACACACAGACCTTTAATAGTTTAATTTAACTCAAATCAAAAATTGAACAGATGGTAGTTGTTAGAACTAATTAAATTAATATTCATTTTTTTTTTCTTAATTAAATTCAACACAAAATTCATCAACAAAACTTAGTGCTACTTAACTAAATTTACAATCTAAATTTACTTTTCAATATCTACTCCAGATTCGGATTTTTTGGCCAATGGCCGGCCTCTACTGTCCACTGAATAAGTCACTTTGAAATTATCGCTGGTCAGCATTTCTTTGAACCTGCTGTCGATCTTAACTCTGCGACCATCCCCATGGCGCTTCATCTTAGGGGCCTATCTATCAATCTATACAGTATACGATTAGGAATTTTATTAAGTTTCAAATAAAAGTATTACTGATTATTATGGCCAGAACATGAAATGTTCAGTTAAAAAAATTGAAATTTAATGAAAAATTTATTTATTACAAAAATTGATCTAATCTTACCAAATTTAATTGAAAAAAAAATAATCAAAGTACAGTTTTGACAAAGTAGGGAAAATTTGAAAGCAACAAATTACAAATAGTAAAAAAACACGAGCGAACAAGCGATAAAACAAAGTAAACAAACAGCGTAGATAATTTAGCAAAAAGTATTTAATGCATTCACCATAGATTAAAAAAACTTGTTAGTAGCATAAATAATGATCGTAAATGTGACCATACGCTTGTAAAAATAAAATTTACACTAACTATATTAATTCATTAAAAACTATAGATGCTAACTCAGTAATAAAGAAACTTGTAAATTATGATCGTAAATGTAAATTGTGGATGTGTAAAAAAAAATTGACTTTGACCATTTACTTAGGCATATATATATAGAACAGGCGTTTATTCAAAGTATTCAGACGCAAAATTTTTATGTTTCTACAATTCACACACGCAAAATTTTAAATTAAATACATTGAAAGCTTGAAAATATAAAGAAAAACAGGTAATTTTGAAATTTTTATATTTTAGTCTCTTATATAAGTTGCCACTTTTAAGCGCACAATTATCTGGAAGCCTTTACTGACGTTCGCCGTGTTTTGCTATAAGTTTAAAAGTTAAAAATTCAAATAAATCAATTTTATTTAATCTAAAACGTAATTAGTTCAGGCGGACAATTAATTTATTTTTAAAGTTATTTTGTTTTAATTTTATCTAAACTTAGCTAAAGAAAAGAATGACATCGATCATAAAAATGACGGCATTCTCCGGTGCTGACGATGATGGGCCACCCTGCTACATGCTCCAAGTTGACGAGTTCAAATTTCTTCTCGACTGCGGATGGGACGCCAGTTTCAAAATGGCACCCATTGAAAATCTCAAAAGGTTGGTTTATCTTGATGGCTTTGTAATTTGGTTTTTTAATTAATATACAAAATCTAAGTTTCTGTTTTTATAAGAACTTGGTAGGTAAGCTTAATAATGTTAGGTAATCGAGGCTTTTGGTCTTTAAGAAGACGTTTGGCCTCTATTTTTTAAGGTCAATTGTTTGACCTAATTGTGGACCAACATCTAAATATATACTAGGGATCAAATGTTTTAGTGATCCAATGTTAATTAATCTATGATAAAAGTGCATTTAATTAAGAAATGAACTATCTAAATATCAGTTTTGTAGTAATAGTAAATAATGAATATTTATAATTTTTCTTATTGAAATGAACAAAAAGGAAGCGGTCATATATCATGTTTTTATGTTAGGATTGATATTCTTTCTTTGTTTAGGCATATACCACAAATCGATGCAGTCCTAATATCTCATCCAGACACTCTGCACCTTGGGGCTTTGCCATATTTAGTGGGTAAACTTGGCCTGAAGTGTCCCATGTATTCGACGGTGCCTGTTAATAAGATGGGGCAGTTGTTCATGTATGATCTTTATTTGGTTAGTTAGAAAAATTATTTTTTTATTTTTAAGTTTTAGTAAAAAATTAATTTTTTCAATAATGATTTTATGATAATAAACTATATGATAATTGTTGTAAATATTAATATTTTTATACCTAATTAACTCTTAGTCGCACGACATCAACGAAGATTTCGACTTGTTCTCATTGGACGACATAGATGTAGCATTCGAGAGAATCACCCAACTGAAATATAACCAGTCCTGCTATCTCAAAAGTACCTTTGTACAATTTTATTCTATGTGTGTGCGTGTGTGTGTATTGAATGGGAAAGAAATCGGAACTGCAGAATATGTGTGCGTGTGTGCGTGTGTGGTTTTCGCTGTTGGAATAAATAACAATAATAATAAACATGATAATAAATAAAATTAATAAATAATAATAATAATGACCTTAACCTAGGTTCATCTGGTTCCGGCCTACAGATCACGCCCCTCCCAGCAGGGTACATGATCGGTGGAACGATATGGAAGATAGTGAAAGATGGAGAGGAGGCCATCGTCTACGGGGTCGATTACAATCATAAAAAAGAAAGGTTGGTCTGTGTGTGTGTGTGTGTGAGAGAGAGAGAGAGAGAGAGAGAATAAAATTTACCTTCATCTTATTATAATAAAAGAATTTTATTTTCATCTGACCATCTAGGCATTTGAATGGCTGTTCATTTGAGCACGCGGTTAGACCACATCTGTTCATCACCGATACGTACAATGCTTACTACTCACAGACTAAAAGAGTGACCAGGGACGAAGAGTTGTACAGTTGGTGTACTTTTTGTGTGCATTTGTTTGTGTGTTTTTGGTTCATTCATTCAGTTGCTGTTTTGTTTGATCTTTTGTTTGTTAAGTCTTTCAATCATTCAATTGTTTGTTTGTGTTAATTTATTCTTTCATTCTCTCTTTCATTCATTCATTCATTCATTCATTCATTCATTCATTCATTCATTCATTCATTCATTCATTCATTCATAATTGGTAATTGTTCATTTTCAGTTTGAGTCATTATAATTGTAATGTTGTTGGAGATTGACTTCAACTGATGCAGGAATGAATGAGTGAATAAATGAATAATTTCTCCCTTACGACAGATACATTGATAAAGACTCTTCGAAACGATGGAAATGTTCTTGTGTGCATCGATACAGCTGGTAGAGTTTTGGAGGTCTCTCACTTACTTGTTAGTCTTTCGATCATTCCTCTTTTCATTCCTTCTTTTATTCATTCATTTTTTCAACTGTTCATCCATTCATTCGTTCATTCATTCGTTTATTCATTCATCCATTCATAGGGTTAATAATAGTTATTACATAATTACAATCGAACTCATTCACAATGAATTTTATTTCTTCATGTGTTCATTTATACAGCCATTCATCCATCCATCCGTCCATCCATCCATCCGTCCACCTATTCATAATAATAACCACAATTACAGTCATAATAACGATAATAATATTTATAATTATAATTTTTAGGATCAACTATGGAAGAACCAGGATTCAGGTCTAACGGCCTACAGTCTAGTGATGCTTAACAGAGTGGCATACAATGTCATCGACTTTGCAAAATCCCAAGTTCGTCATAGTTTTTATTATTATTATTAATTATTATTATTATTATTAATTATTACTATTATTAATTATTATTTATTATTACTATTACTAATTATTATTATTATTATTAGGTGGAATGGATGAGTGAGAAGATAATGAAGGCGTTCGAATCTCAGAGGACCAACCCGTTCCAGTTCAAATTCCTACAAATATGCCACACCCTACAAGAGCTTGCCAAGATCCCAGAGCCTAAAGTTTGTAATTTAAATAATAATTATACTTATTATAATAATTATACTTATACTAATAATAATTTTACTTATAATATTAATTATTATGGTGGCGATAGTAATAATTAATGATGATAATAATAATCCAAGACTTGCTGAGCTCAAAAATTGTAATTTTTATAACAAAAAACAATAATATAATTATGATTATGGCGATAATAATATAACTATGGCGATAATAATATAATTATAATTATAGCGATAATAATAATTACCGCAGGTCGTCCTAGCCAGCCCTTGTGACCTTGAGTACGGATTTACCAGGGACTTGTTCGTCCAGTGGTGTGGGAACCCGAACAATTGTATCATACTTACTAATCGGTCGACACCAGGAAGTTTGGCTAGGACTTTGTACGAGAATCCTAACCCAAAGACTATATCTCTTGAGGTAGCTTGTTTTTGTATTGTATTTGTATTGTATTTGTATTGTATTGTATTATCTGGTTGTATGGTTGTATACATACACAAATATATACATACATACACATATACATACATACATACACATGTATATTCACACATACATACATACATACATACACACATACATACATAAAAAATGGTTTATTCCTTTGGCAATTACATTTGCTATAGAATTAGTAAACAGTTCTGTAAAGCTTGAAAAATACAATTTAGTTTAAATTAACTTTTAAATTTTTCATCAATTGCCCGGACAGATTAAACGAAAAGTGAAGCTAGAAGGAAGGGAGCTGGATGAAATGAAGGAGAATAAATCACTAAATGATGATGACGATTACACATACGACGACGTCAAGTTAGTATTCACACACACGCATACACACACATACATACACACACACACTAATAATAATAATAATAATAATGTTTTTATTCGTTTTCAGAATAAAGGAAGAACTGGATGCGAGTTATGATAGTGATTCAGGGGAGGAGGAGGAGAGGGTTGAGACTCTCTGGCACAAAAATAAGTTTGATCTACACGTAAGACACGAGGTTTGTTGTAATTGTTGTTGTTGCTGCTGTAGTAGTAGTTGCTGTGGTAGTAATAGTAGTAGTAGTAGTAGTAGTAGGAATAGTAATAGCAGTAGTAGTAGTAGCAGTAGTAGCAGAAGTAGTAGCAGTAGTAGTAGCAGCAGTAGTAGTAGTTAATAAACTAAACAAAACAAACGACCAAACATAAGCAAACATACGAACAAACAAACAAACAAACAAATGCATTTTTTTTTCTACCGCCAGAAAATTTTAAACATACGGCACTTCAAGAAAGCCCAGTATGTCTACCCGTTCAGGGAGGAGAAGATGAAGTTTGACGCGTATGGGACCTTCGTCGAGTTTGTCTCTTTTTTAGGAGTGAATGGATGGATGAATGAATGGATGGGTGAATGGATGAATGAATAAATGAATGAATGATTTCATTGATGTTAGTGGCGGTGTCTGTTTGCTTAGTTTGATTTGTGTGATTTGGTTGGTTGAAGGGTTGATATATTGACTGGCTGAATGATCGAGTAGTTTATATTATTTATTAGAGTCATAATTATTAATAGTTATAATATAATTTCTTCATTCTCAAACAGTCCGAAGCTCTTTGCATTTGCAGACGGCCAAAATGCGATGAATAATGCGAAAGTATTGAAGGGTAGGAAGAACACTGAAATAAAAGGTTGTCTGTGTGTGTGTGTGTGTGGTCTCTCTTTCTCTCTCTCTATTTCTCTCTCTCTCTCTCCATATCTATTCCATCTATCTATCATTCTCTTTTTTGAATTTCTCGTTTGGTTCTTTCTGATTATTACCCCTTGTTATATATTCTTTTGTCTTTCCAATTCTAATTGCTGGAATTTATTAGGTCATTGTTTAACTAATTGATTGTTTGTTTGATTGACTAATTGATTGATTAATTGACTAATTGATTGATTGATTGATTGAACAGACACGGCAGACGTACACAAGTGCATACGTTCAACCGAGACACTGGAGATCCAATCAAAAATCGTCTTCATCGACTTCGAAGGCCGGTCCGATGGCGAGTCTATTAAAAGCATCATCTCGAAAGTTAAACCTAGGCAGCTGGTTGGTCCATTGATTGATTGACTGATTGATCTGGTGGGTGGTTGACTGATTGATTGGTTGGCTGGTTGATTGATTGGGTTTTAAATTAGGTAGTTGATTGGTTTATTAGATGATTGGTTGATTGAATAATTGATTGACAGATTGACTCTCATATCAGTTCATAGCCGTTAAAAAGTTAAATTTTTTTCATCCAATCTTCCCAAGATCTTAGTGAGAGGGAACAAAAAGAACACCACCCGTCTGGTCGATGAATGGCAGAGTCACGTGATGCAGGGGGGGCGTGTCCTAATCCCGCGGACCAATGAGGTGTTAGATGCTACCACGGACAGGCACATATATCAGGTGTGTGTGTGTGTGTATGTGGGTGTGTGTGTGTGTAGAAGAAAGAAAGGAGTTGATTAGATGATTGGCTAATAGAAGAATGATTGAAATTTGATTGGCTAATGTGAGAATGGTTGAAACAATAATTATATTAAATAATGATAATAATAATAAAATAAACAAAAATAAAACCCCCCAAAAAGGTAAAACTAAAAGATTCAGTGGTCAGTGCGTTAAAGTTTTCACACGTGAAGGATGTGGAAATTACATGGCTGGATGCACAGCTCGATATGACCAAGTATCAATCCGATACCAGTGCTAAATCAGAACTTAATGGTATGTACCTGTGTTTGTTTGTATGTATGTGTTTGTTCGTATGTATGTGTTTGTTTGTATGTATATGTTTGTTTGTATGTATGTGTTTGTTTGTGTGTATGTGTTTTGTTGGTTTGTTCATGTGTTTGTACTCAAGTTTGTATGTTATTTTTTATTCAATGACTAATTCATCATTCATTCATTTATTAGTATATGTTTTATTCGCTCATTCATTCATCTCATTCACTCATTCGCTCACTCATTCTTCTCGAATCTTCCAAAGGAACCATTATTAAAACCGAAAAAAAATCTGAAGCCACAACAACAGCAACAACATCGATAAACATCAAAAAAGAGAAGCGTCGTGACGACAGTGACAATCGTGACATGGACGTTGACGATGGTAGTAATGATCCGATGGATGTTGATGATGATGGTCGTGACGTCGACGATGACGTCATGCCTGCGTTAGTTCCGCTAGCTCCCAATTTGGTAGGTTCAGGGTTTTTTACTTACGCACATAGATACAAACATACATACATACAAACATACATACAAACAAACAAACAAACATACATACATACCTACCTACCTACTAACATACACACATACATACATACAAACAAACAAACATATATATACACATATACAAACATACAAGTCACACATACAAGTTCACACATACATACATAAATATATTCAAACTTACAGGTGGAGAAGCATTCGGCGATCTTCATAAACATTCCACGTCTGTCTGACTTCAAGCAGTATGTCATCAGTCAGGGCGTGCAAGCAGAGATGAGTGGAGGTGTGCTCATTTGTAATAACAAAGTTGCCGTCAAGAAGGTTTTGTTTTGTTTGTTTGTCTGTGTGTGTGTGTGTGTGTGTATGTTTGTCTGTCTGGCTGTCTGACTGTACATCTGTCTCTGATTGTATTCGTTCGTTTTCCTGTCTGATTGTGCGTTTGTTCGTCTGTGTGTTTGTCACTGATTTGATTCGTTTGTGTGTTTGTCTTTGTATATCTACTACATGTATTCGTCTGTCTGTCGGTCTATATTTATTGTTCTAACGACCAAGTTGCTATTATAAAACATCGTTTTGTTTCTCTCTCTCTCTCTCTTTCTCTCTATTTTTTCAATCCCCAATAATAATTATAGTAATAATAACAAATAATTATTCATAATTTTAAAATAATTTTTCTAACAACCTCTCCGACAGAACGAGCTAGGAATGATTCTTCTGGAAGGAACAGTTTGTGACGACTACTACAAAGTTCGACAGTGCCTCTACGAACAGTTCATAATACTATAATTATGAAAATAATTACAGTATTACTATAATTATTAAATATAAAATAATTTAAAATATATATTTATATAGGCAACCCATAATCAATATTTAGTTTTTTCAACTGCTGCCATGTCCCAATGGAAATATATATATATATGTGTGTGCGCGCGCGCGCGCGCGTGTGTGTGTGTTTATCAAACAGAAAATTTTCTATTTTAAATTTGCTTGTATATAATACATGGAGTGCGGTGTAAAATTATAATGGGCTATGAAAGACAGAGCAGAATTACATCGTATCAATATTATTTTTTTTTAATAATTCAATTTTAATTAATTAGTTTTAATAATTTTAATATAACAAATGATGATGGTAATGAAGATAATAATGACAGTGATGAAAAGTTCGTTCACAATTTTGTAAGATTTTTGAAAAATTATTTGTGATAGAAATAGAAACCTAACCGATACAATAAAGGGTTATATATATATATAAATATATAAATGTGCATAAACATAGATGTGTATATGTATGTATGTATGTCTGTGTGTGTTTGTGTGTTAGGAAGAGAGAGAGAGAGAGAGAGAATGAAAAGGGTAAAAGATGGCTAAAATTAATCAAGTATAAAACCCAAAATTATAGCAAAGAAAAACATTTTTTAGTTCTTGCCAAAGCCATTGCGAACACATAGAGCCTTTGAAAAAAAACCCTTCAACCAACGCTTTAAACTATAAATAATAACAATAAAAATACATAATAGTAAAGGTTAACAATAGCAAGGATAACAATTTGTAGGAGAAAATTACGTAATTCTCAATATAATATTTGATTAAATATATACAAACGATAATTAAAACCTTAATTTAATCCATTGATAATATTCAATTGTTTGTATTTATTTACAAAAATAATAATAATAAAATTATATTGCGTATATTATATTATTATCATCGTGGTATGAATGCTATGGAGCCATCTTTCTGATGTAACAACAACATGCAAACGTTAACATTAACCATATTCATAATTTTCATATTCAAATTTTTGTAAAATAATAAAAAATAGCAATAACGACAATAATAAAAAATGATAATTATAATATAATTACGATAATTATGTCTAAAATTATAATAACTATAATATAATTATGATAATTATGTCTATAATTTAAATTATTATTTCATATCGCCATCGTTGTCGATCTGCTTCTTGATTCGTAGTAGAATGGCGGTGTACCATTGGTCCAGGCGAGAGATGCTATCGTATTCTCGTACTGCGTCAGTGAAGCTTTCCTCATTTTGATCCTCACATGCCGATAGCAGACTCTGGTGGGGAGTATTATTTCAAATAATAATTATTTTATCATTATTATTATTATTATTATTCATAATTAATTAATGTTCTATAATTATTGTATAACGGATTCGCGATTATCGCGTGAAGTAATTTGCCAACCAATCAGTCAACCACCAGATCAATGCACACACACACAATGCACACACACACACGCACGGATGCATACCTTGAGTAATTTGCATTCTCTGGACTCGGAAAAGGCGGGAAACATCTCTTGGTACTTGGCCAGGGAGTTGATGGCGTCCACAGTATCCTGGCACATCCGGCAGAGTGCGGCCCGGAAGAAATGATCCTTTGCACCGTAACGCAACAGCTGATTATCCATCGTAGACATGCCCACCTAAGGTTTGAAGCCCCCCAAAAAAATAATAATGGCATTATTGTACAGCCCCACACATTCATTCAATAATTCATCCCTCTATTCATTCATTTATCCATCCATCCGTTCATTCATTTATTCATCTATCTATTCATTCATTCATTTATTCATTCATTAATGGCCATTCATCTATCTATCTATCTATCTATTCATTCATTCATTCAATCATTCATTCATTAATGGCCATCCATCTGTCTATTCGAATGAAACCTAATTACGAGCGCACCTGTTCGTAGATATTAATGGCCTTGTCGTACTGCTCCATCTGAGCTGCGTACTGGGCCACCTTCAGCAGGTTCTTATTGGCCGAGCTGTCGTCCATTTCCAATGAAAGACAATAAATAAGAAAAGGTAACAAATAAGAGAAGATATTATTTTAATTTAATTATACCCATTTTTACTGTTAATGTATTTATTGTTAATATTAATTCTCTTTTTTGGTCTTTATATATTATAATATAATATTTTATATTTGCAGTGCTAGAGGTATTTTTGTGTCACCAGAAATACTAATTATCTATATTATTTACCATAATATTTTATTTAAATTCAAGTTAACTTTAAAAAATAATAATGAGAATAAAATTATAGAAGAGAATCTGAAGCAAAAGACCTATTGGACTCTTCTCCTTTGTAGTAATCTGCAGCCTTCTCGTAATGGGACATTGCCTATGTTAAAAGAACAATAATAACAATAATTATCAATAATTTTTACTTATAATAGTAATAATACTTATAATATAATAATTATAATATAATAATTATAATTATGGTGAAATTAATTGGGGGGGGAGTCAAATAAAAAAAATTATTTTCACCTTGTCTATGTCCACTTTGTCATTTTCATAAATCTCAGCTATGGATACGTGGTGCTTGGCTGCTATGTTGAAACGACCCTTGGGGTGAATGAATGAATTGATGGACAGATGAATTAATGGATGAATTGATGGATGGACAGGTGAATGGATAAATACAAATGAATATATGAATGAATTGGTGTGATGAATGAAAAAAATAAATCATTTAAATTATTTTTTTATTATCGAATCAATCATCATTTTTAAAACACACACACACACACACACACACACACGCAAACAAACACACACACGCAAACAAACACACACACGCAAACAAACACACAAACAAACACACATAACTAACCATATCTGTATAGATTTCAATAGCTTTTAAAAGACACTTTACTGCTTCTACAAGATTAATTTGAAAAAAAAAACAACTAAAAAAAAACCATACAATACAATTCAATACAATACAATACAATACCAAACAACACATACAACAAAATACAATACAACACCATCTAATACAAATCTATCATTAAATCCTATAATTATTCATCAAATTCATTATTCATCTATCCAATTTTAGATCCATTCATTCATCCATCAATCAATCCATTTATTAATGTATTCATCAACTCATCCATCTATATACTAATATACTCATTCATTCATACACCCATTCATCCATCCATCCACTAATCACACTAACCATCAGCATCAGTTTTTTTGTAGCAATTTCCAGCCTCTACATATTGAGAAGCGCCTTCATGTTTACTGTCCAACTTTAAGTAAAGAGCGGCCGCCTTACAGAAAACGTCCCCAGCAGCTAAATTAGGAAAATTAGGGAAAGGTTTAACAAATGTTTGATTTCTGAATAAATGACTATTAAATCATTTATAATGTAATATTAGCATAATATAGTTATAGTAATTAAAAGTAAAAATGATAAAAATAATAACTGACCACTCCACTGTTTAGCCATCTTAAAATTGTTGCCAGCCTTCAGGTACAGTTCTGCTGCATCTTCCAATTTAGAAGATCCTCTGAGAATTATGAAAATATCTATATCTATTGTATATATAAAATAAAATATAGAATAGCAATAGAGGCCAATAGATAGTGGAACAGGCCAATTGGGCCTAATCAATCACTAGAGGCAGAGAAGAGTACTATTTATTGAAACTAATAAAGAATTTGACAAAAGAGATTTGTAATAAAAAATGTAAAACAAAATTTGAAAAGCTGCAAACGCACCCAAAAAAAGACCCAAAAAATCCTCCCCCGGATTTTAGTTTTTTGTCAGCCTGGGCGACGAATTCGTGCGCCTTTTTTTCTGTGTCCGTCATATTTAAAGCAGCGGATTAAAAATTTTGATTTTGAAAAAATTGATGTTGGATTTAAGATTTTATAAAAATACTGTTGGTACGTTAGTTAGGAATTAGTACGGAATAATTAATCGACTTGTTTGTGAAACTAATAAGAGATTAAAAGTAAATAGGTGTTTGTTATGCCGTTCCGTTCGGTTGTTCAGCCAATTTTGACAAACTTTCTTCTAAATAATTAATTTTAACTATTATTAGTGATTTCAATATTAATAAAAATATTTATTAAGTTAATTAAATAAAAAAACTTTGTGTAAAAGTAAGTATTAAAGTACTTTTAATTAGACTTTTTAGTGGGACCGCATATCTCTAATTCTGTTTGTGAATGAACGATATCGCACTTTTTTCGTTCTGTTTTGTTTTTTTAAGTTTAAATTTTACATTTTATTTTTATAAAATTTTTCGGCAAAAATGTCTTTAACGGCCTCTAACGATTACCACAGTTCAAAAATTTATAAGAAAGTTGACGTAGAAAATTTGTCAGAAACTTTCGAGGTTCAGGTTTTGAACCTTTTTAACTTTTTCACATGCAAATCAATTTTGAGTTTTTTTTAATTAAAATTTTAAATTTAATTAATTTAATTAATTATTATATCAAGAGAACCGATGTCGAGAAAGTTCTTGAAAACAAGTTAACCCAACTGAGGGCAGAGAATGACTCTTGCCTTAAATCAATAAGTCGTCTACAGGCCCAGAACACAGCTAATCAACAAAAACTGGAGCTTGTGATAACTCATTTGAACGAGTATGCCACCTACATTACTGACTCTGCTGCTTCTATTAAATTGAAACTAGATTCTACCAGCAGTCAAGTGGAACAATTTTTTTCAGAGTTAAAATCATCAGATAAAAATTTAAACAAAAATTCACAGCACCAACAACAACAACAGCCCAACAATGATTTAATGAATTCACTAGCAAACGAGTTTGAACAAGAGAGGCTAAGATTAAAACAGCAAATTCATTTTCTATGCACAGAGCAGACAACTTTAAAAAATGCTCTTGAGACTTCAAAGAATCAGGCTTTCAGTTTAGTTCAGAAGCTGTCCTGTGCTAGAAATGAGTTGATATCAGCAGAGGAGGAGCATAGGAAGCAGATAGCATCACTTAATTTCAATTTAGACTGTGAAAAGAAGAAATTTTTGAATTTAGAATTTGAGAAAAATAAATCTCTAGATGAATTATTAACGTCCAAAGAAGATTTAAGTAATTTGAATGCCTTTGTAAAAAATGAACGAGAAAAATACGCTTTGTTAAATGAAAAGTTGAGATTAGAAATTGAGAAAAATAGAAAACTGATTAATGAAAATATTACATTAAAAAAAGATCTAGAAAATGTACAACAATGTACACCTAGCAATCGATGTACAACTGCCATAAATGATTTTCTGAAGGTATTTATCATTTTAATTCTCTTAAATTTTTTCCATTTTTCAATTCTTTTTTCATTCATTTCAACTTTTAAAAGTTTTTGAATGATTTCAGAAGCTTCCGGTTGCTTTAATTTGCTTGTTGAAAGTATATTTTAACATGTTTATTGTTTAGTTATCCTTACCTTCACAACTAGTTATTTCAAAGTCTCTGAATTTTATTTAGAATTAATTTTTTTTCTCTTCTCTACAATAACCCTAGAATGAGACTGAAAGGAACCAGGTTCAAATGCAAGCTCAGCAACTACAACATCAACAGCAGCAACATCTAGAGAAAGACAATCAAAGACTACGAAAACATCTATTAGACATGGAGGAGAGATACACTCAGGATGCCTTAGAATTTGAAAGGGAAAGATCAAAATTAACAAAAGAGTTCGAAATTTTGAAATCTAAACTATCAAATTATCAAACTGTAGAAAATGATATAAAGTTGGTTTTCTATTTTTATTGTGTGTGTGCGTGCGTGTGCGTGTGTGGTATTCTAAATGACTTTTCTAAAAAAATTTTTAAATTCTTATTCAAAATTCTTTCTCAAAACATTCTTTCAAACTTACCAGGAATATAGATTTTATATTTATATGATTTACTTTTAAAAATTTTTTTCTTCTCCAACAAAAGGTCGCACAGCCAAGAAAAGATTGCCAACTTAATGGAGCGTACGAGCTGCCTGATAGTCGAGAGAGATGATTTAAAAGTGAAATTAGATGAAGCTCGAGTTACTATAGATCAATATTCATCATCTATTAATAATCTTCACGTCGTCCTCGAACAATATGAAAAAAGTAAATGATTGACTGAATGGATAAATGAATGTATAGATGAATGAATGAATGTATAAATGAATGAATGAATGTATAAATGAATGACAGAATGAATAAATAACATTTCCAATTCAATTTTTTTCATCACATCTTTAGTTTCAATTTCAAAATGGTTTTCAACATTTGTTTAATATAATCTATGATAAATTTGCTCCTGAAGATAAAATCCTTGATTTTTTTCATTCATTCATTTGTTAATCAATTAATTAATTAATTAATTTAACTGGCTTAACTTTTGATTGACTTAAGATACAATTCTTTATTTTTTCATTCATTCATTTGTTAATCAATTAATTAATTAATTAATTTAACTGGCTTAACTTTTGATTGACTTAAGATACAATTCTTCATTTTTTCATTCATTCATTTGTTAATCAATCAATTAATTAATTAATTAATTTAACTGGCTTAACTTTTGATTGACTTAAGATACAATTCTTTATTTTTTCATTCATTCATTTGTTAATCAATCAATCAATCAATTAATTAATTAATTAATTTAACTGGCTTAACTTTTGATTGACTTAAGATACAATTCTTTATTTTTTCATTCATTCATTTGTTAATCAATCAATCAATCAATTAATTAATTAATTTAATTGGTTTAACTTACGATGACAGATCATCACATCATGCAGATGAGTGAGTTGGAGAAGTGCAGACGTGACCTGAAGCTAGAAGGGCAGATCAATGAACAACTAAAAGAGAAAATTCAACACTTTGAAGTTAGTATTATTACCAATATTAACACAGCTTTTACTACTTCTATTACCTGCTGCTACTACTGCTACCGCTGCTACTACTACTGCTGCTACTACTACTACTACTGCTGCTACTACTACTACTACTACTACCTGCTAATAATATTTCTGCTGCTATTGCTACTATTGCTATTACTACCAAAAATAATTACTACTGCTATTGGTATTTTTACCTATAATATAATATAATATATAATTCATAATTACTATGTATGTATACATTTAGATTCATAATATTTTGATTATATTTCAGCACAACTGATATTTTTTTCCAGAATAATGTCAAACCATTGCAAGAACAGCTCATGAGATCAAACGATAGACTGAAAGATTTAGACGTGTTGAATGAAAGAGTAAAATCCCTACAGTTTAAAAGTGTGTGTGTGTTCACTTGTTTGTGTATGTGCGTGTGTGTTCGCTTGTTTGTGTATGTGCGTGTGTGTTCGCTTGTTTGTTTGTGTATGTGTGCTCGCTTGTTTGTCTGTGTGTGTGTGTGCGTGCGTGTGTTTATTTATTAATTATAATTAACTTCCTCATAATAAAATTCATTCATTCAATAATTTACAAGTTGAAGAAAGAGACAAAGAGATCATAGTACTAAACTCTAAACTTGATAAAATCAGCCAAGATGACAGCGCTAAAATAGACAAGTAGCTAACTATTAATAAGAATATTATTCATTTATTCAAAATATTATTAATGATAATAATAAATATAATAATTATAGCCATTATTCTTCAGATTAATAATGAAAAGTTTAATCTCTGGCTACCTACAAGCGCCTTCTGATAAAAAACAAGAGGCCATCAGTATCATATGTAAATACCTGGACTTCTCAGTTGGTGAAATTAATAAGGTAAAGTCTCGATAAGTAGTTTCAGTATTATTATTTTACATAATTATCATTATAATTATTATTATATTATAGTTGTAACTATAATTATTTATAGGTTACAGCAACAAGTAGATACACAGATCTAACAAGGCAGTCCTCTTTTACAGCGGACGAACATGTTAGTGTGTGTGTGTCTATGTATGTGTGTGTGTATGTATGTATGTTTATGTGTGTGTGTGATAAAAGTAAATCAGCATGATTATATTATAAAAAATTAACATATTTTCACATTATAATAAATCAATTACTATTATTATTACTACTATAATTACGATTAATTCTTTTATTATTCCTCCATTTTTCGCTATTCCTTCAGTCGTTCTTCGAGTTGTTTGTGGATTTCTTGGAGAAGGAATCTAGACCAAGAAGAATAGGAGTGAAGATGGTGATGGCTGATGACAACAATCACACCTACAATGACGACAACAACAACGTTACAACAACAACATCACAGCAACAACAACAGCTTCAGCAGCAACAACATAAATCATTGCCAATATTTTATTACGAGCAGAGTCAGTCAAGAGAGCCGATACAGATGTTCTTGCAATCTCTGAAGCATCAACAACAACAGCAACAACAACAACAATTGTTATCTGAAGAAGTACCAACAGCTCTAAAACTATCGTCAACAGCGTCATTTAAAACAACAACACCGACATTAACAACGACAACATTAACAACACCATCACCAACAACATCAACATCATCTCCATTAGCCCCCAATGAATGTCAATCAAAGTAACGATACTCTCAAAGATAAATTCACTACAGATGATAACTTGAGCAGCCAAAATTACACTTATATTAATTAATTGATTGATTTTATTTAACAATAATTCACGTAATTTATGAATATAAAAAATAAATTATATATATATATATATAAATGATTGTTAATAAAAATGTGATGTAACGTGTATACGGATGGATAATTACATCAATAAGATAAAAGGAGAAAAACGCTCAAAAAATTACGTGCTACAAAAATGTAAAGAAAACGAAAAACATGGCAAAATACATTTATAAACTCTTGTGAAATAAATTTTTTTTATTTAAAAAATAAATCAAGATCTGTGACATGCAACATAAATAACTTCAAATCTTGTGTGTGTACATATATATATATATATATATATATATATATATATATATATATATGTACTAGATAACTAATTGCCCTTATGACAAATAGAAAAAAATTTACAAACACACATAAAAAAACATGCATACTTATGAATAAACATATGTATTGTATATATACATTATTGTATATATACAGTTATGTACAGTACATACGAGTACCGGAGAATACGTGTTCATGAGGTATTTATGAAAAATAAATTAAAACATTGATTCGTAAAAAGTTTAATGTACGCAGTTGATAAAGACAAGAAAAAAAAATCTGGTTTATTATACTTATCTAAATACGTTCTTGCAAGTGCATGTTTGTTCATACATAAATGTGTGTGTGCATGTGTACAGCTGTATGTGCCTGCGCGTGTGTACACATATACAAAGAAATGTGTGTGTGTGTAATATTTATCAACAAATAGTATATACAGAAAAACATTCTAAACATTCCTTTTAATCCTAATAAAATTGTAAATTTTTTTTTACCCAACCAACTACAAACTAATCCAGACTTATCACCTAATAACTGACTCCTTTCCTTGTAGATTCATATCTCTTTATCTCTTTTTTACATACATTTCTTAGATTAATCGTCATTTTTATTAAAAATTATTTAAGATTTATTAATTATTTTCATTTAGAAATTCATCCGCTTCCAAACAAAATACCATTTATTAATTATTTCCATTTAGGAATTCATCCACTTCTAAATAAAATGCCATTTATTAATTAATTTCACTTTGAAATTAATTCATTCATTTCAGTAATGGGAGAAACAAGGTTTCTAGGGCTTTGTCCAGGGATAGCTCCTTGCCTTTCAGTTCCTCCAGTGATAGATTCAAGTATTTTTTGACGTTGGGCTCTATAATATAATATAATATAATATAGAATAATATAATATAGTTTATTATGACTGTAATTTAATCCATATTATTTATACTAGTGTATATCTTATTACTGGATTAATGTATTATGATTTAAAAAAAGAATTATCTTTAAGAAAGTTATCAAAAAGTTAAAATTATCGAAATTTTCTCTTCATTTTGTCGGAATTTACCAAAGATCACAAAAATAACTCACTAACCAGCATTGCTTTCAGGTTTTCGAGATGCTTTTTTCAGTAGCCACATTGCACCCTCAAAATTTTTTTGCTGATACAGAATGAAACCTTTCGGAATAATGTTATATGTGTATGTGTGTTTATTTTATTTCATTACTATGGTGGACTTACATGCATTCAAACTCAGTCAATGCAACTCAAAAAAGACCATGTACCTCTTACCAATAAATAATTTCATTGTTCTTAATTTAACACACAGACAGACACACACACACACTAGTAACCTTTGTTGTACAACGCTTTCCAGTTTTCAGAGTTGAACTTGAGAGCCTGATCGATTCTAATTAGGATACGATCATAGTCAGGGTTCTCCTTGATCAATAGGCAGCCTACAATGTGCATGTTGGTTGGCGGTTTCAGTAAAAGTTAAATTGAATTGATTTATAAAATTACAAAAATTACTAGTAAAAAAAAGAAAGAGACCAACTGGCAATATTGTTGGCACACTCCGACACAGTTGCCCTCAAATTTTCAAGTTCAGGATTTTTCACAATCGTGGAACCACCATTCGGGTGCATTATAATTGGTGCGTTGTATTCATAAATTTGGGACTTATCGACCTCAGCCCCTCTCAGGTACAAAAATGCCTTGTGGTACTTTTTCAAAGCATTTGTTATGTCACCATGTCTGAAAAAACAATCGCCATCATCCTTCAAATCTGACCCTATTTTGGCTTTTTCTCTCCAATTCGCCCACGGCTGTTTCTCCAAAAGCCAGTCAAATTTTCTGGGAGGTTTTTTATAAGGTTTGAGATTTTGATTGTTATCGGCGATATCACTACTAGATAAGTCTGGCTCTGCCTCCGTTGTTGCCTTTCCGGATTCCTCTTCTTCGGGCTCTGGCTTACTTTCGTCATTCTCAATTAGGGTCTCCATTGAAGAAGTCGGGGCGGTTTGTTTTGCGTGGTGACTGCTAATTCGTGGCAT